TTAAAAGTCTGGTGGTGGCGCACTATTATGAGATTTATGACTGCATGCACATGACAAGTAAATAAAAGCGTGAGCCGTAAAACTTGTAAATTATTGTAGCGAGAAGGTCATCTTGTTCTAGTCTATAAAGAATAGAAAATAAAAAAAACTAAACGAATTTTAATTTAGAAAACGTAAGGTAAGGAAACCACTAGTTAACGTAAGGTTAATAACCCCAATAGTCAATGAAGGAGTTACAACCATGAGAAAAATGAAAACTTCAACATGTGACGGTAGAGGAAGCAGACGTTATATTACATAATTTAAAATAGAGGTAAGTTGCCATACTCGCCGTCCAAGAAATCATTGCATTGCAGAATTCAGAAATGGACTTATCAAGAGAGTAACATTGAATGCCGCAGCAGTTTTTGATGGTAAGATACGGAAATTCCCAGAGGAATGATAAGGATGTTTTCGCCAAGTAACCACAGTACTCTTGCTTCTTCTTCGACGAGTCCGTTTCTCAATTCTCGTATGCATGTAACTGCTTGAACGCCGCATAGGTTATTTCAATTTGCTAACAAATGATGTGATTCTTGCTTCAATTCTAGCGCCACATGCTTACGTACATCATTATCCTTATTTGTGACTGCTTTTCTGGCAATCGATATTATTGCTTGTCCCACAGTAAGCTTTTGTTTTTCTTTTTATGACTCAAAATGCAATTCAGTGTTTTAAATTCTTCAAAAAGAAGAAATACTGCTGTCTGCAAAACACTTTTCCTTCAACTGAATAATGAGGACGATACTAAATAATCAATAAGTTAACAAGCAGTAGTTCCTTTGTTTCATTCGAGTAATCTTCTGTCATTTTTGTCGTATAGCGCATTAAATTTCCCTTGAAGCAGGGCTTTAATTGTTCAAATGAAAGTTTTTCAACGTGCACGTTATCTCCAACCGATGAGTACAGAAGAGATCTAGAGGCGTTACTGATCCGAGGGAAGAGGGCATTGGAAATCAACTAGGCTGTTAAGAAGCATGAAAAATGTGTTCTTGATAACAGTTATTAAATAATAAATGGTGCATATATATATAGAGAGAGAGATACTAATAGTATATATTTGTTAAAAATGCTTAAATGGCAAGTTTTACTGAAGATCTCCGTTCTTGGCATGCCTCCAGCAACAGCTTCCGTGAACTGTAAAAGAGCTACATTTCCATTTTCTGGAATCGGAGTAAATTGGCTCAGTAAAATGAATCGCTTCTTTGAATTAGTTCCGGAGCAGATGGTTAAATTCTAGTCTGCATGGGCAGTCACAAATTTTAAACGTTTGTGATGAATTTTTAATTCACCTGCTCAGTACTTGCAAAAGAAAGTATTTTATTTAAAAAGAAATGCCTTTAAAAATTGTAGAGATTTTGGAGGGAAAAAGAAAAATTTTGTTACATATTCTCTTGATCTGAATGCAATTTAGATGAAGCACATGAAATCTTCATGGCCAAAATAAAGAGAAAGTTCCTGTCTTTTACAAAGTATTTAAGCACCTTATAGATGAGAGTACATCTTCGTTCATATCCGTCTCAGTTTTCGTCGAAAACATGCTGGAGGACGAAATTCGAGAGTCTCGTAACCCTCTCAAAGAGACTTTCGATCCAACGATTTTTTAAGTTCCCAGTGCCACGAAGGCACTAAACATTTATAAACATCCATAGCTTCTCCTGGATTCGATACCTGGCCCAACGACCGGCAACCGATGGTAGCTGGATAGGCTAACACTAACCACTGTTGAAAAGGGTGGCGAAAAAAAGTCTGCTGCTGTAACAAAAAATTGGTGTAATTTTACATTTTGTCATTTATTTATTCCCTGCCTTTCTAAAATATACTGATTTCCATATATTAATAGTGGTTAAACCTCAGTATTCTTTTAATGAGTAATATTAAATAATTAAAAAAAAGAAGACCATGAAAGTTTTTATGGTATAATGCAAGGTTTCCTAAAGGCTCCATATAAAACATCCTAAAGGCTCCATATAAACTGATTTTATAATTTTTAACCCGTTTTTGCATTATCTTTAACTTTAATGTCACTTCTATTTTCGTCGGCTCCCATCAGAATGGAGATTAGTTAATGTATATAAGTACACTGTTCTTGAATTTAAGAGAGAGCTTGTGGCAGCATTTGCTTATCATGCCGATGCTAAATTCTTTTAGCTTTTGAATTTACTTGAATTCGATTGTAAACTTACTGGCTGTACTGGCTTGCGAGAGTCGACGACCTGAACCTATTAACGCGCGCTTTGTCTTGTAAATATCATATTTCAAATACTTAAATTTTACTTTATTTATTAAACTTTTATTTCTGTTAATCCCAAAAGTAAAGGGAACTTCTACTTGTGGTGCAGGCTGTTTAAATTCTTAAGCTGAAGAGCTGTTGAAAAGGTTCATTTTAAAACCTTCTTCTGCGTTCGGTGTTTCTTCAGTGGACGGCAAGACGCCAGAGTTAACATTTAGGATAATTAGGTTTTGTTAAAACTAACATTTTAAATTAATGAGCATCAATCATTATTATATCTTAAGGAAAATTAAAAGCATATTAATGTCAGAAGAATGTGAATACGAATCACCAGTTTTTTTCTACTAACTGTTAAGACCTTATTTTATTCTAACCAATTGTTTTTAGTTTGACTTTCCTTTACCTCTTCATTTCAGTTTCCTGCCGGAATATAAATTTTAATGACGTAGTATGCAAAATCTAAGTGTGTTCAGAAGCAGTACTTAAGCTGCGGTTTCAGGAGTTCGTGAGGAGTAGTAGTGGAGTTAGTTCCGAGTTTATGCTGCGTGTTTGAAATAGCTCTTTAGTTGGTGTTAGGCACCCTCTTCAGATTATTGATATTCTAGGTTCAGCTTTGCTGTGTGCAGCCGATTTAGCGGTTTAGATAAATAAGGAGCCAGTCGTCTAGCCATCATAATTTATTGTGATTTTATATTCTTATTTTTTGTTTATTTAGCCACAAGTGGTGGTGAATTGTGAGCACCGAGTGAGTGCGTCTTGTTACGTTAGTTCAGGGGTCGGCAAACTCTTGAAATGGAAGAGCCAAAGTTTACAAATTACAAAATTTCCCAGTTTTTAAAGAGCCACTAAAAAATTTTCGTTTCAGTATTATAGTATATATTATTTCGTTTCAGTAAATATTATTTGAGGAACTTGGAACTTGAGCGCTGGAACTTTATATCAAAAGAGCCGCAGGTTGCCGATCCCTGTGTTAGTTGAAATAAAAAGGTTATTCAAATCTTCCTCTGTAGTATCTGTTCTTCAAAGACATAGCGAGAATTCGCTATGCAGTCTTTTCACGTAGGGTCTACTGTGAATGCTCCCGAAAAGAACACGTAGACTCTACATAACTTTCGAAAGCATTAACATATTGGCATTTGGATCTTCAAATACTTCTCGATAAAGTTGTCAAAACTGGCGTTTTTTAATATTACAGTTTTGGAAAAGGAGTATGAAAAGGAGCATCCCTAGTGTGTGCTCACTGAGGTGGTAGTCAAATAATATTTTGTTTTACAGCATAACTCTATTTAAAATAGAAATGTACTCAGATTTGAATTTCGCTGATCTTTGAAGAAGTACCAAGAATAACAGTGAAACTATTGATTTTGGGAATTTTTTTTTTTTTTTTTTTTTTTTTTTTTTTTTTTGGCCTGAGACCTTTGTGACTCGGCAGCAGTAATATACATGCGAAAATTTCGAGTTTGTTTTATTTTTTTCTTTTATTCTGCACTACAGTTTATTTGTGAAAAGTTATTTTTAAAATAGCAAAGCAAAAATGATTTGACTCGAAAATTTCAAGAAAAATAAAATTTTATTTTCTGTAGCTTTAATTTATTTATCTTAGAAGTTTATTTACAATAAACAGTAAAACATTTATCACAAACATTCGAATTATGAAATATTTCAGCATTACGACATTGAATAAATTATAATGCGTCATATTAAACATTTCAAACTTAAATTTTCAGGGGAAAAGAAAGTGAAGTTTATGAGCATTTCTTAATGTCTCTATTATTTCTTCTATTATGTATATTACAATATTTGGTTTGTTTAAAGGAAAAACGAGAGAGCATTCAGTTATATATGTAATAGCAAAATAATCTTGATAATTCGGTTTCATGAAGGAATTTCCCAATCTTGAATGATCAGAATTTCGTGTAGTGAATGTGTTGCATTTTTTTCGTGCATTTTGTTTTATTTTTTAAATAAGAAAGGACTGTGCGTCACAGGTACGTCTAGATTTTTGTAAAATTTTGTTTACAATTCACATTCATGTTAGACTTGTTTAACACATTATCAGTAGAATATAGCTGTTATAAAAATATAAATCAGTCTAGCACTTGCAAAATTATATATCAGTGTGGCAGTTGTTAAAGTTTTATTTAAGTCTATTGGATTACCCTTTTCGAAAAACAATTTTAAATATTTTTAATACATACCCTTTCTCATTATATTATCATTTATAAACTTCTTCGCTATTCAGTTATATACTTTTGGTTTTCCTGTAGTATAATCTAAATAATTTTAGCCACAATAATGAAAACTTCGTCAAGTTATAAATTTGTTTTACATTATTCTGTTAAACTGTGTATTTTGCTTATAAACCCAATGGTTTATGTTTTTGTGAAGTTTGATTTCCATATTTTTAATAGTGCTTCACTAAGGATATTATTTTTTGATTTATTTCATGATATTACGATATAATTAGCAGATTACACATTTTAAATTTCTCTCATAAATTAGAGAATTAAAGCATCTAGTCTGGGGAATTTACTCAACTTTTTATAAAATTAAACAAGAAAAGCTCGGATCACAGGAGATTTTGCATTTGGAGAAACATTTTTACGTTACAATGCACAAAAGTTGGTTTTTGTGAATTGTAACGTAAAAATGTTTCTTTAATTAACTCTCTAGCTTATATTTCTCTAAAATTATGAGCGGAACTTGAATTCAAACTCTTCAATTTCAGGTCCGAGATCGTGTCGAGTGAGCGAATGGTCAGATTGGAGCACTTGCAGTAAAAGCTGTGAAATTGGCGAGAAAACAAGGAAGAGGAAAGTAATTCACTTTGCGTCAAGAAGTGGGCGTCCTTGTCCGCCCCTTGAAGAAACTACGTGGTGTCGAGTGTCTGAAAACTGTCCAAATGAAACAGCATTTTTTTCATGGCGGTGAATAAAAGATGCTTTTCTAAAAGAGCTACTCATTCTTTTCCCAATTATACAACAAAAGATCCTTTCAAACGTGTTATTGTCTTATTGTTTTCAATACTTCGCAACAATGAAACTTCATCAATAGCACAGAACATCATTAATCTCTCAAAATCGATGCTCAAAGTTTTCGTAACATTAATTTACTTATTTATATTTATTTTTTATCTTTAAAATATTTTATTAGGTATATAAATTATATAAACAGATAAAAGATATTGAGGACTTGAACACATTCATGTATTTTTACATATTTATTTTATTAACAACAGAAAGTTCATGCGCATTCATTTTCAAAATTTCTTCAACACTGAAACCGGATCTTTATCAAAGAGATCTTGATATTCATTACTCTCTGAAACTCTTTCTGTGTTTCTGAATGCGGTTTGTCAGTAACACCACTTTTTCTGCTTATGAATGTTTTTAAACAATTCTCGAATGTAATTGACAACTATGAGATTCCTCTCATAGTGATCGCTTTGTTTCAAGTGATTGCTTTGTTTCCGAATTTGATTAAAGGGAAAAGCATTATTGTGTGCATACTATCGGATTTCGGTCTTACATGAAATAAAAATGAAGTTACAATGTTACTGTTAAAATGAAGTTACAAGATGCCGTAGGTATATTTTACGATTAGTAAGTACTCACTTTAATTTGAAAAACTCTCTTAAGAATAAAATCTTCGCTGTGATCTCCGCTTATTTGCAATCAAGTGTGAAACTTTGCAAAAATCCAATAACAAGAGGTGCATTTGCGGTTTTCTTTCTTGTTTAAGTATTTCAACATTTCAGAAAGGGGATGTTCTTTCTTATTTCAAACATATAAATAATTTGTAATGATGTACACATACTAATCAAAGCATAGAAAGCTTTACATTAATAACAGTGAAAGAAACAAACAAAAGCAAAATACCATAGGTTTTAAAACAAAGAATAGATTCACCTGTCTATTCTTATAATTCTCTCTCACCATCATTCTATACGAATGTTTAAAAAATTCGTACCAAACATAAATTATTTAAAGTATGAAATAAGATTAATAGTTACAAAAATTACGTAATCGATCTTATTGAATAGAATTCTCTAATTTTACATCACTACATTTACAATATGAAATAAGAGTATTAATTAGGAAAATAGCGTAATCGATCTTTCTTAACTTGTTTCTTATTTTTACATAAAGCATTAAAAATTTTTATTTTAACTGAAGCAACTTAGATTTTAATCTACTCTAGAAAACTGAACCACAGAATTTCGTAAGCAATATTGAAATTCTGTGTTGCGAGAAATGTGGTTAGCAAGTACATCTTTCAGGACCTAATTCAGATTTGTAAACTCGTTTAATTACTTCTTGTTTTCCTTAAAATAACAGTAACGATAAAAATCTGTCTATTCTTATAACCTGTGTATTATACTTTGCACAAAGTATAATTACACGTATCTTGCTTAAAGAAGATTTAGATGTTATTTATCATATAATCATTATTCGAACATTATTTTTGATAAAAGAACGAGTTTTCAACGCCATATAATCACGCAGTTTCAACTTCTTTTAACGAAGAATTTCAAGAAAAAATAAACTATACAGTATTTACTTGGTTATTAGGCAATGTTTCTTCGAGCAGGAACTGCTCTTTCTTCTAATGTGATTCATTAAGGAGTGGCCTTTTCATTCGCGCAAAAAAGATTAAAACCATACCCCAGGTACTCATTCCTGTCATGAAATTTATGCATCTCTACTTGATTTTAAGTATACTTAAAAAAATTCTGCTGTGAAGGGAGAATGTACTCGTATATAATTACATTTTATAGGTTGTCTTAATATACATAGGCTATGATTTTACATACATAGGATATGCGATTACAATCTATTTTCTGGTAGTGTCTATTTAGTGAGCACTTAGCTTCTGCTGATCGTATATATATATATATGCATATTTATTAATGTTAGCTTTACAGCATTTTCGGTTTACCTCTCATTAAGGTATGCGGTCATTCTGACCAAAGTTTATTCAATGGACAAAAAAAAAATCTAACGCTTTTGTATTTTTTAATAAAACATGTTATAATTTAGTTCATTAAATTATTTTTTTTTTGTTACGGAGTTAAAAATTTTCAACAATTTTTAATGCATTTTTTATTTTACAGAATTACATGACAACAATTTCTCTTTTACAGTATAAATCACTAGTATTAATCTTATACGCATGACAATTTTTTTTTCTATCTAGATATTCGCAAAATAAAATGTTTCTTATTTTGTAAGATAAATCACGAGTATTAGAAGAATAGAATATTAAAATGAAATAAATTACTTGCATCATTCGTCTTTGGAGTTGTTACAAAAGCTTGATTTAATTATTCTCCTCATTCAAAGCCCAAGCCCAAGCAAATATTTATTGCACGTTGCATAAAAATTTACAGTTTTATTATTTTTTTAATCGGCTAATTTGATATTGCTTACGCTTATTTGAAGAAAGAACGTCTGTTGGGCTTTTCATAGGAGCAAGATGATTCTTCTTTGAGGAAATTAAAATATATTTGCTGCTGTTCAGCCACATTTAGAATAATTGCAAGTACTATGAATGATCCATGAATTTATCATAGATAAATTAAGGCCAATAAAAAACACATGTACTTGTCAACGTGGGCAGTAAGACTTGAGTAAGACTTGACGTAATAATTTCGGGCAATGTCTATTCCACATTCGGTTGCATTATAAAATCTCACAACCTCGGGTCTTTCTCTGATTTCCTGCAACTTCCAGAGGTGGATGAAACGACTTCATGAGAAAGACATTTTTTTATTAAAGCAACTTTACTAGAATACATCTTCCATATTCCTAATTAATAGGGCTGTCTTTTATTTATTCATCACCCCCCCTCCCACAGTTGACTATGCCAACATAGCTGATACCGTTATTTCTCTAATTATTTGCTAAAATCAAAGAAGTAAAGAAGTTGTCCTTATTAAGATTTCTTTCATTGTTATAAAAGGACTCAATCAACAGATAAATGGCATTCTCCTCAATAGTTTGTTCAACTGGTCTGCTTTCATCTTTCTAAATAAGAATATCCAGTCACTAAATATTTTGTTTTCACATCAGCTTAAAAGCCAAGATTTTATGCCGAATTTATTGGGTTTTTGAGACCTATACTGAATAAAACGGCATATTGCCTTTTGTAGGAAACAATTGTCCACCAACTGAATTATTTTCACCTGGTTCGTAACAAAATAAATTACTCCCAATAAAAGTACTCCATACCTCTGAAGTGAGAGCAATTGGATCAGTTTGCAATCTTTGCGATCTAACTGATTTCAAGTCAAAGCACAAATATTTCATTATTTGCAAGAATCCGTCCCTAGGCTGAAGAATCCGTCTCATGTTTCGCGGAAGAATTTTGGATCTCAGGATTTGCACCATAAATTTAAAACAAAGTCCTTTGGCAGCCAAAGCTCCACCAGCATAAAGTAGAATAATAAAAGCATCTGGCTTATCAAGTTACGAACTCCAGTTTAAATTTCTCGACTTGTGTCGGCTTCTTTGCAATGCTGCATATGATGCGATATCTTTTCGTTAATAAAGACTCCATGCATTGCTTGCTTTCCGATCAATTACTTTTCTCTTAGCAGAATTAGTTGGAGCACCTGCTTCTTGCAAACATTATGAAGAAGAAGTCTTACAAGTGAATTTGCTGAAGTAATTTTATCCCACACTGTACCATAATTTGCTATTTCTTAGTTTTTGATTGATTTTCTCCATTTTCAAAATATGTAATTTGTTTTTGTTTTCTAATTGGGCTTGTTCTTTGCCTTTGACGACTTTTTGGAACACAACTACTTCCTGGAATTGCAAGCAAAATGAAGAGCGCTGTGTGATACAAAACAAAACGAAGATCTTGCTAAAATATTTAGGTGAGAAGCATGAAACCTGTTTGGGACATTACCACTTTGGGTAATGGGAGCCTCACTTCTGTTGTCACTGTTGCTGTCGAATCAGGTCTGGAATGAAAATAAAAAGTAAATTCAAAGAAATGGCCCCAAAACGCTGCTACACTAAACAAAATTAAGGGACGAAGAACAAAGTGTCCACTAGCTGTAATTCTAGGCAGTTATATAAAGAAAAATAATCATTTAAAAGAAGCCAAATTACTTATTGTTACCAAGTTGCATCTTGGTAAATATTCGAAAAAAATAAAAAAATATGAAAATCTTTAAAAAAGGAAAAAAAAAAGCTAAAAATTTAATTTCATTTGCGGTCGGTCAAAATGACTGCTTTCGTAATACTAGCGTTAGAAAACCATTAACACCAACGAAGAACTGTAAGAAAGCAGAAGCGAACATATTCATTGAAAATAAAAAATAAAAATTTTCTGCAAAACAAAGATGTCTCACAGACTTTTTTATTAGACATATTATATTTATTTAATTTTATTTATATAATATCTCACGAGTGGAAAGATCATGAATGCTGTTTGATAAAGTTGTTTAAGAATGACTGACATTTTGGTTTTGCATGTGGAAAAAGATGTACACCGTGTCCATAGATATCCTTTATGCGGCCGTTATTTCCGCAATCTTTATCGCAGGCATATACTTCCAATTTTAAAGCGATTTAAATAGAGAAAATATTCATATTATGGAAATCTAAATCTACAAAATTCATTTTGCAAAAATTACGAAATCTAACATTTTAAGAAGTCAATGGATTCTGAGAGTTTGTACTTGTTCTAGCATTAAAACAGAAAACGTTTTGCTTCAGTACGACAAAAATTAGCAAAACTCACAAACTGAAGCAGGAAATATTTAAGTCTGTACATAACTAAATATCAAATATCAGGACACCTATTTTAGGCCCCGATAGTCACTTCAGTTTACTGGCCGCCAGATATTGCTACTCGCAAAACGGAACCCCTAGTACGGGAAAAGGCCCGATAACGAAGTTATTCATATTTTTTTAACCCTACTTTTCCCTCAAATCCAAGAA